CACTGTCCTTCTTGATCTTGTCCTCACATGGTATTGCTCCACAGTATGGAGCCTATTATAACGTTAGATAATCTGGACAAACATCAGGAAAAGCAGAATTTGTACAACACAATGTGGAGTGTCTTACACAACTGTCCCCAGTCTATAGGATTTACTCATGCTGGGCTGTATGGATTGAAAGTACATTGTAACTTCTTGACTACTCGTGTTCAGAAATATCCAAACTGTACATTTATGCCTGCAAAAATATCCTATTTCATAAAGGTGAAACCATACTGTAGAATAGTCTAAGGTCACATCAATTTAATTTATTGGTTCCCGGATTTATTCAGAAAAAATATGAAGCGACAGGGCGAAAGAAAAATAAAATAAAAACAGGTCTAGGCATCCTATTATAGCCCCAAATGCTTGCAACGATAGGAGCCATGAAGTCAACACAAAAGGCCGGGTCAATATTTAAACATGGAGGTAACAAGGCAGAGGCAATAAAATCATTGCCAAGGCGACGACTGAAAGATATATATATTATTTCATGTGGTGGAGCTAGCAATCTACATTACAATTTTAAGAAAAACAGATTTCCCTATCTTATAAACACATGCATGTAGTGAAATTTACAGGATGGGTGGAGGATGTGTGGGGCAATATACCAAATACACGTATAGAACGAATCAGACTTTCTTCCCCAGCAATATAAATTTTATGATGACATACTTACTTTACCTGGTAAGTGGGACTTGTCGAGTTCCACTCAACCAACTTAAAACCATCCTCCACTTCACTCTATCCTCCACCAGAGACTGGATTTTACGTCTGGTTGTTACTCCTATGACTTTTTTTTTTACCTTTTGTGGGTTCCAAAAGGACGGATAATTTCTTTTCTCTGTGTGATCTGTTTGAATATGGTCTTTGGCCAAGGTGGCCAAAGACAGCTGTGCTCTCTGTCCATGGTGTGGGGAGAAGACAGATGACCAGTAATTAATCATGCCAGGCAGCTGGATGGGTGGCACGTGGGCACCCGGTGTAAGTTACATGGCTGAAGGTTACCTCAAAACCAATTCCCTAGGGAATGCATTCGTGCAATTTTTGAAATTCTTTCAAAGCGATCGTAGTACTTGCACAAATGCCTCCGCCCCAAAGGTGTCGCCAAAAATCAAAATGTGATTTTTACCTCCATGGGTACAGTACAGTTATCACAAAGTAAATTGGGTAAGGCTTACACAGCTGTGCGCGTGCGCCGATAAGTGCAGTGGCTAAGGTTCATCTACTTCTACTAGTATACTTAAGAGTTGACAGGTCAACAACGTACACCTACTGACATACACAAAACTTTTGAAAAGGAGACCACCGTCTGCCAATGATTTTTGGCCGTTTTTGCTGTCTTTTTGGAACCACCAGTGACCAGAAGAAACATTTACCGCGGCTGTAACGCAAAGTTTTGCTGGAGTTGGGAGCAGAAGAAGACGGGAACTGCGGGCAACGTCACGATCACGTACGGGCACGTCGGCATTTACAGCTTGTGATGTTCTTGGACTTTGGACCTTCGCCAAGGTTATGTGTTCATAGACTTCATAGTGTTTGTGTGCGTGTGCGTGTGGTTTTGTGTGTGTGTGTGTGCGCAGTGTGTGTGTGGTTTAGCACGATAACTCCAGAAGCTTATTTATGGATTGTCATGAAACTTCGTAGTTAATACATAGGCCTTGAAAAGACCTAGAAATTATTAGATTTTGCCTCCCACCCCTCAGAACTTCCGGTTTTGATATATCATTTAAAGTCTTAGTTGGGGAGGATAACTTGGCAAGAACCGGCTGACGGATTGTCATAATTTATAGTATGTAGGTAGCTTAAGTGATGCTTGACGTAATTAGGTGGTAACTAGAAAGGTAACATTTGCAAAGCAAATGCATAATGTTTACCTTCATATATGGTCTGCTCT